CAGGGTTTAGGGTTTAGGGTTTAGGGGAGGGGAGGGTGGCCGGCGCGGGGGTAGTTGGGGGAGTGGGGGGGGCGGGGGCGGCGGGGGCGGGGGGGGTTGGATGCGACGGAAATCAAGTGCCTGTAGCCATAAAGCCTAGCAAGTGCATGCTCGAATCAACTAATTAGCCGCGACACAAACTCACTGTAGCCTCTCTGGTTTCGAGGTACCGCACCTGCCACCGTGAACCCTCAACCCCAAGCCTTCCTGAAGCATGCGCAGCCTTCCAGGTACGCGGAGTGACGCCCTTGCCCGTCTTCGTTTTTTCAGCAACTGCTTGCGGCGTTGACTCGAGAGGGTTGATTGGGTTTCTTAGTAGCTGAATGAGTACACTTTACCCTTTTTGGGATACTAAAGTGTGCATTGGGGGGGGGGGCTGAACCCTGAACCCTGAACCCTAAACCCTAAACCCCAAACCCTAAACCCTGAACCCGCGCCAGGTTGGGGTCTCCAGCTGCTAGATATCGCCCTGCCCAGCGCCTTCGACAAAAGCATCGTCGCGACGCAGGCGCGGGATTTGGGGTTTTAGGGTTTAGGGTTTAGGGTTTAGGGGTGTATGACCTTTAGATTCCAACCACGGTAGAGTTTCCTGAAAGGGCCGGCAAGAAGGCTCCTCCAGAGGGCCCCCAAGAAAGGGTCATCGCGCTTCGACCCTGGATCCGAACTTGTTCATGGGGGTTCATGGGCAGGGGTGTACTTGAAGGTTCATGGTACTTATGAACCAATTACAACTGTACTTACAACCACAATTATAGCCCTCTTAGGAGCACTTAGGGGGCTTATACGTGGGTTATAAGTACAGCTCTACTTGGTTACTAAGTGCCCTGAACCTCCAAGTAGGGTTAACAGTACTCCAAACCTGGCGGTGGCCAGCTGTGACTTGAGCTGCCCGATGCATAACTTGCGCAGCCCCTGTGTTCAAGTCCGCATGAAGGGATCCTAAACCCTAAACCCTAAACCCTAAACCCTATAAACCCTAAACCCTAAGCCTCCATCAGAGCTTTCCGAAACGGTTTAAGGGTTTAGGGTTCGGGTAGCCAGAGTTGGGCTGTCAGAGGCAGAGGGTTGGGGATTTGGGGGTACCTTGTATCCACAGGGATTTTAGTTGGTACCTAGTTCACGTATTCTCCCTTAAGAGGCAGCAGGCTCAACCCTAAACCCTAAGCCCTAAACCCTGAACCCGAAACACCGAAGTGGAGAGCAGGTGCAGAACCAGGCAATTAGCACGGAGAAGTATGCACAGGAGCACGGATTGTCCTTCGGTCTGCGGCGATTGTTTTTTTGTTCAAGATTTATGTAGGGTTCAGGGTTTAAACCCTAAACCCTAAACCGATCAGGGGGTGCAGGGTGTTTTGGGGTCAGGGTTATAAGGTTTAGAGTTGAGAACCGGGCTTAGCGCTTGGGGCGTCCCCCCACCCGAAGCACCGATGCCCTCATACCCCAAACTGACCCAACCTGACACTCCTACACCACGCCTGGGGTTTCGGGTTCATGTATGGGGTTTAGGGTTTGTGCCTAAACTGAAAACCAAAATTCCTACACAATAGGTTGTTTGTGCCCTGTGTACGTGTAGCCGGCCTGCACACTTCACTCAGTCGATCCATAAAGCCCGATACTTAAGGGTTTTGGGTTTAGGTTTTTGGGTTTAGGATGGGTTCCTAGAAGCCTAGGGACACAACTTTCAAGTTTCTGGAAGTTTCGCAAATGTTGGAGACTCGAATCGTCGCAACTTTCGTCCTGCACATCTGATCGGGATGCTAGTGGCATAGAGTTTATGATCCCATAGACCCTAAACCCTCAATACTCGATCTTTGCTGTGAGCGTTTCCTTGAAGAGCACAATACCCTAAACCCTAAACCCTAAACCCTAAACCCTAAACCCTAAACCCTAAACCCTAAACCCTAAACCCTAAACCCTAAACCCTAAACCCTAAACCCTAAACCCTAAACCCTAAACCCTAAACCCTAAACAAACATGGCATCTTACGTGCTTTGGCCATCCCATGCAGGCTCATCCAGCGCCACCGTATGAAGTAGCGCCATCATGTGGGTCTTTCGGGTATACTAGGACCCGGAGTAGAAACCCTAAACCCTAAACCCTAAATCCTGAACCCTAAACCCTAAACACTTTTTCCGTTTTGTTAGGGCTGGGTTCCCTTACAATCCCCTCAAAAAAGGGGCACCCTTTCTATTCCTAGGTGACTCCTGGGTCGAGTGTCTAGTGTAAGTGTGCGTATTGGGTGTCGTGTTGGGGATGCTATAATGTACACCCTGCTTCACATGAAGTGCGTAGGGTTCTGGCCGCTGCCGTTGGTGAGTGTAGAAGCATCAGCCTTGGTACAGTAGCCCTACTTCCATTTTGGGAAAGATGAAATGCCCAGATGATTCATTATGCTGGCCGGTCATCTGCACCTAACCACCGAACCAGAAACCCTACAACCCTAAAACAACACCCTATGCTAACCCCTATAAGCCCTTAGCCCCATCTTCTCGCCACCGTGCAATGGCCTGCGGATCAAGGCGCTGTTTCGACGAGAGACGGTTCGGGTTCGGGGGCACTAGGCAGCAATCTCTGAGCCCACGCCCGAAATTGGGGTTTGGGGTTTCGGGTTTAGGGTTTGGGAGATGAGGAGGGCAGGGTGGCTCGATACGTCTTCGAAAGTTCCGTGCGCTGAGGGCAGGAGGCTTGGTTCAGGGCTTTCGGGCTCAGCGTTTTCAAGCTTTCAACCCTAAGAGAAAGAGTGATTGACTATTAATACTAGTAATATGCCATATTTCTCGACTCTTACGACTTACTAGTATATTTATAGCTATTAAAGCCCCCTGAAGCCTTAAACTCTCACCCTAAATCCTAGACCCAAAGCGTTGAAGCAGCACTTGGCGTGCCTGGATGTTTGGCAATCTGCAGCTTGATTTTTGCATAGGGTTTGGGGTGTTGCGGGTTTAGGGTGTGATGTTGAAAGCTTTCAGACTCTATAGTATCCACATTGCGTTCAGGGTTTAGGCATGAGAAACAGGGTTGAGCGTTTCAGGTTTGTCGGGTGTAGGGTCTCTTCTTTGGGGCCCGTATATTCCCTTCAAAGGCATGATCTTTCAGGTAGGTGAGGAGCGGGTGAGCTAGACACCTATCCCCAGGCGCCACTCCAAACCCTAAAACCTTAAGACCCTAAACCCCGAAAAGCCGGTTCGGTAGCCTTTGGTTTCACTTGGGTAAGAAAGGTTAGCCGCTACACCCTTCCTTATAGGTTTCTTAACGGCTGGTAGGTACCTAGGGAACCTTAGGGAAGCTTAGGGAGCCTCAGGGGGTAGCAGGGAGTAATTAGGGAACCTTGGGTTATTTGCCCCCCTTGAACCCCCCACCCCCCTAAGAACCCTAAAGCCTAAACCCTAAGCCCTAAACCCTAAAACCTAAACCCTAAACCCTGAACCCCAAACCCTAAACCCTAAACCTTCGCCTGCCCAGTGTTCGCTATAACTTCCGGGCCAGTGTCGTAGAGGTCTGCAGGATGCTCCTGTGTGCCTACCATACTTGCTGAATGGCAACACAACCCGTGCCCTTGCACAGCTGAAAGGTCCCCGAAACCCTAAACCCTCAACTGCCCTAAACTGCCCTACACCCTAAACCCTAAACGCTAAGCCCTAAACCCTAAACCCTAAACCTAAAACCCTAAACCCTAAAACTCAACAAGTTCCAGCTTGCCGCAGCCATTTGTAAGGAATCAAGAGGCCTCCGTGTGCACCTGATCTTCCGATCGCTGTGTTGCTGCTGCTCCGCCTGCAAGTGCCGGTTTAGGCTTTAGGTTTGAGGGTTAGCCCTTAAAACCCTAAACCCGAATCCCTGAACCTAAACCTAAACCCTAGCCCCTAAAACCTCAAAAAGACCCTGGAAAACCCGAAAGCCTTGGCCCTAAAACCCTGAACCGTGAACCCTGAACCCTAAACCCTAAACCCTGAACCCTGAACCCTGAACCCTAAACCCTAAACCCTAAACCCTATCCCAGCTAGAGGCTTGTATGAACCTCGGGCTGAGTGTTGGTCGAAAGAGGTGCACACCAAAGCGGGGAAGCTAGTTTTTTCCTAAACCCTAAACCCTAAATCGACGACCTCGTGGTTCAACGAGGGATTCAAGCCTGCACCCCCAAAAGGTTCCTGTGGCCCCCATGTTCCGTAAAGGATCCTTTACGTGGCTCCCCAAACCCAAGGGTTACACCCTTAGGGGCCCAAGGCGTTCCCAACTAGACCCTAAACCCGGAAATCTATAAACCCCAAATGGGTGGTGTAGAGTCTCTTGCAAGCATTAAAAAATTTTTACCCTGGGGGCCACCCGAGGGTGAGTTCAGATAGTAGCCTGGATTAGGGTTTAGGGTTTAGGGTTTAGTGCTTCGGGCTTAGGGCTTAGGGCTTAGGGCTTAGGGTTTAGGGTTTAGGGTTTAGGGTCGAAGCCTTAGCTGTCTCAGAGATCCGAACTGATTTCCATGCTGGGCTTTGAGTTGCGCCCCGAATCCCCAAGCGCCTCAGCACACTTCTGCGTAAAGGGTCGTATACCCATATTTCCTACTCCTTGAACCCTGAAACCTGAACAATTTAACCCTTTAACCCTAAACCCTAAACCCTACACCCTAAACCCTAAACCCTAAAACCCTAAACCCTAAAACCCTAAACCCTTTAACCCTTTAACCCTTTAACCCTTAAACCCTTAAACCCTTAAACCCTTAAACCCCTAAACCCTTAAACCCTTAAACCCTTAAACCCTTAAACCCTTAAACCCCTAAACCCTTAAACCCTTAAACCCTTAAACCCTTAAACCCCTTTACCCCTTTAACCCTTCAACCCTTAAACCCTTAAACCCTTAAACCCTTAAACCCTTAAACCCTTAAACCCTTAAACCCTTAAACCCTTAAACCCTTAAACCCCTAAACCCTAAACCCTAAACCCAAATCCTTACCTCTCCAGAGCCAGGTGATGTCGCTGCAGCCCTCGCTCGCTTTCGCCGTCGCCGGCCCCGCACCACCGGCCCGCCAGAGTCTGCCGGACCAGGCCCCCCCTAAACCCTAAACCCTAAACCCTAAACCCTAAACCCTAAACCCTAAACCCTAAACCCTAAACCCTAAACCCTTGCAAATTTCTTGGGCTTTGTTGGGTTTAGCTCGGGGTTTCGGGTTTCGGGTTTGGGGTTGGGTTGGTTGTTCCCTTGGCATAGACTCTAAACCCTAAACCGCAATCCCTAAACCCCACACCCTGAACCCTAAACCCTAAACCCCAAACCCTAAACCCTGAACCCTAATTAAACCCCAGTCTTGAGAGCCACCAAAATGACAGCGGGCCTTCTGGGATGATCCTGCACTTTCGGGCTCCTGTAGACGGTGGGTTGGCCCGGGCTCCCATGTTCCCCTCCAGTGAGCCCCTTGAAGCCTGGGGCTTAAACCCCAAGGCCTAAGCCGCTCAAAGTCGCAACTTCACAAAGAAGCCCTAAATCCTAAGCCCTAGATTTTAAGTAATGGCTGCTCCTAAGCATAAACCCTAAACCCTCCCAGATGCACCGGCATGCTTGAAGAACAGAGGCGCCTCCAGTGCAGACCGCCCCTGGAACGACCTCTCGCACTTCGTGGCCAGCAGCTCTGGCGTGGAAGAGGCTTTAGAGGGTTTAGGGTTTGGAGTTTTAGGGTTTAGGGTTGTAGGGTTTAGGGTTTAGGGTTTGGGGTTTGGGGCTTGGGGCTTAGGGCTTTGAAATGCAACTGGCACCCTGCGAAAATGGGGGGTCTTAGGTCCCTTTGGTGAGCTCACACTTAGGGAGGGTTGTTAGATAACCCCTTTGGGTGTTTTTTGCGACAGAATGGAAGGTTGAGGCTGACTTGTAGGTTCATGTGTAGTTAACCAATAGGGGTACAAACAGGAACCCTGAACCCTAAACCTTAAACCCTAAACCTATGAACCAGGATGGAGATCCGACTTCTACGGCCTTTTAATCACGGCCACAAGCTAGATGAGTACCATAACTTATGTGATAGGTAGCAGACCCCACACCTTCAACCCAAACCCGAAACTCTAAACCCTCAACCCTACGATTGTGGTTTGAGGTGCAGGGGCTTCGACCCATCTGCGAACTGAGATTGTAGGTCTGAAGTCTGTGCTTATCAGGGTCTGGGGTTTGGGGGTTTAGGGTGTAGAGGTTTACGGTACGGACGGAGTTTTGGTTTTGGGCTTAGTGAAGCTATAGAGTCTGCCTACATACTCTTGTGAGACGGCAGACCCGAGAAACTATGGCAGATCGACAATAGCAGTAGGCAACCTTCACCTCAAGGTGCAGATCCGGTACCAACGCCAGCTCAAGCCCAAACCCTACACCGCGAACCCCAAACCGCGAACCCCAAACCCCAAACCCCAAACCCCAAACCCTAAAACCTAAACCCTAAACCCTAAACCTTAAACCCTAAACCCTAAACCCTAAACCCTAAACCCTAAACCCTAAACCCTAAACCCTAAACCCTAAACCCTAAACCCTAAACCCTACACTCAGGTAGCCTGCACTGGACTCCTTATTCCAGCCCTTGCTGCGGGCCGCCGGGGCAAGAAGGGGCCTGCGCCACTCGTCTACAGATAATGTCTCAGCTTGGGGTTTAGGGTTTAGGGTTTAGGGTTTAGGGTTTAGGGTTTAGGGTTTAGGGTTTAGGGTTTAGGGTTTAGGGTTTAGGGTTTAGGGTTTAGGGCTTAGCTGCTGAGTTCAGAAGCCCCCCAAAAAGTGCACACTTTCATCTCTATAGGGCATCACGGCACCGCAAAAAGTGTAAAGTGTACACTGGGCCAACCTTGTACCCCCCAAAATCCTCGATCCTAGGCCCGACGTGTGTACGCAAGACCCGAGCCGGAGAGGAGGTTTTGGGTTTAGGGTTTGGGTTTAGGGTTTAGGGTTCAAGGTTCAGGGTTCAGGGTTGAGGGTTTAGGGTTTAGGGTTTAGTGTATAGGTGGGCGGGTTCAAGTCGGATGTAGTACTTGTAATCATTTTTCTCTAGGAAGCTGGGCAAACCCTAAACCGGAAATCAGAACCTTTGTCCGGGGTTTTGTTTGTTGGGGGTCTTGTGGTTTAGGGCGTAGGACTTTTGGGTTTTTGGGTTTGGGGCCTATAGGGTGTTGGGTTACGGTTTACTTTGGGGTTTTGGGGTGCAATGTCCCGGCATTTGGGGTGTTTGTTTTTTTTTGTTGCTTTAAGGCCTCGTGTTTTTGGGGTGTTTGGGTTCTGGGGCTTAGGGTTTGTCGAGTTTCCCTTGCTCGTTGGGCTTAAGAGGGCTTTAGGAATGTTCTTCAGACGGGCTTTCCAGGCTAGCCTGGTGGCGTTGTAGTGGTTTAGGGTTTAGGGTTTAGGGTTAGGGTTTAGGGTTTAGGGTTTAGGGTTTAGGGTTTAGGGTTTAGGGTTTAGGTTTAGGGCTTTTTCGAAGCCCAGGTCCAAGATTGCCATGAAGGACGCAACCGATGCAACCTACGCTCTCCAGAAGGACTCTAGGGCTCTTAAGGGAGGAGGGTTCAGGGTTTAGGGTTTAGGGTTTAGGGTTTAGGGTTTAGGGTTTAGGGTTTAGGGTTTAGGGTTTAGGGTTTAGGGGGGGGTTCATCGAGGGTAGGCTACCTCGGGAACCCTAGGGAAGCTTAGGGAGCAGTCGGGAGAACTAGGGAACCTTGGGATGCATCTTCACTTTGAACCCCCCTCCCTTAACTAGGTAGGCCCTTGGGATATTTTATATATTTTCCCTTATTGGGTTTAAGAGGACCATACTTAGGAATATTTTTCAGAGGGTTTGAAGGGCCATCCTAGATTAAGAACCCCGTAAGAAGGAAGCACATGTCGATTTGGAGTTCCTCAACGATGTCGGCTACCTCCCGGACGGCACCGTTCCGGGGCGCAGTTAGAGCCCCCCCCCCCCCCCCCCCAAAGGCTAAACCCTAAACCCTAAACCCTAAACCCTAAACCCTAAACCCTAAACCCTAAACCCTAAACCCTAAACCCTAAACATTACAAACCTAAACCCTAAACCCTAAACCCTTGACGTACAGACTAGTTACAGGGATCCAGCATTTTGCACATCTTCGACCATGAGCTCTGAACTCTGTTTTCTGTCGAGATGGCGTGTCGGAGTTTTTTTGGAGGGGTTCTTGAGGGCAGGTTCCCATCCCAAAGGGTCCACGTACTTGTCTAGCAGATGCTTGTGCCTTAAAAAGGGGTTCCTGTAAAGTAGCTTTGGGGCCCAAGTATCTACTATATGGATACATGGAATTAGGGTAGTGTATTCATTGTCATTGGCAGCGCTGAATTTTCCCACCAAAAAGCCTGACCGAACCCTCAACACACTCAGCGGCGTAGTCCTCGGTGTAGGGTTTAGGGTTTAGGGTTTAGGATGATCCATCCGTCTTAGGCCATCAATCGGGCTGGCAACGCCATCAACCACCCGGAGAGAATGCAGGCGGACAAGCACATCGCCGGGGCTCCGCTACCACGCGCCAAGTTCGTGAATTCAGTCGGCCCCTTGGCCAAGTACCGAAGAATCAAGGTCCCAGGTTGTCATGATGCAAAATTCTTGCATGTTCACATGCTTTCTTTGCACGACAAGGGGTTTCTTTCAAGACAGTGGGCTCACGACATGCACTTGTAGAGCTTGAGTGCAGCAGCCCACGGCATTCGTTGGTACAAGAGATTGCGGGGGGCGTGCGACGCAGGGATGCCCGAACGTTGGTCCAGGGGACACGAAACCCTCTCGTTAGCGAGACCAACACGAATTGATGGCCCTAAATCCTAGTTACTTGCCTTCCCTATAGGAAGCTGACGTCCTTTTCAGCAGTGTCGGCATCAGTTTGCCTCTGCCAGGGTTGGTAGGTATCGCCTTTGATGTCGCTGTGCCGTCTGCTGGTAACCAAGGCTACCTGCCGGACGGCACGCCTTTGAATGCAGCGGGCAATGCGATCAATCATCCCGAGAGAATGATGCCGGACTCACATGCGCCTGGCTCGCCGTTGCCTCCCGCCTCGTACATGGCCGACATTGGCTACTTGGCAGATGGCACAGCCTTGACTGCTGCAGGCAACAACTCAGTCAAGCATGTTCCAGCTACAGCCAGCAATCCCACGCCGGCACCCACATCTGCCCCTGCAGCCAGTCCGGTTGCCCAGAACACCGTGACGCACGGCCGTGGCTTCGAGTACAGCGCGCAGAGGGATGCGTATGCAGATCAGGAGTTCACCAACGACGTGGGCTACTTGCCAGACGGCACCCCGATGAACCGCGCCGGCAATGCAATCAATCACCCTGACCGTCTCTTGGATGCAGTTGAGAGATCAACTCAGCACACGCGCACACACCCATACTTTGCATTTCTATGTCACATTAGCAGTCAGCCGTTACCCTTCAAAATGGTAAGGGTGCAGAGCATGAGCACGCTACATGGATGCAAGAGAGCGCAGTTGGACGCAAGCCAGCCAGCAAAAGCCAGAAGAACAGCACCCTGAACTCAAAACCTGCCCTCCAAGTCCCAAAAGGGCCTTGTGAGCCCCTAAAACCCCCCCCCCCCCTGCAGGCCCAAAGCTCTCAAAAACCCTAAGGCCCTAAACCTTCAACCCTAAACCGCTATCAGGCATGGCCCCCGACAGCCATACGCCGGGCTCTCCGCTTCCCCGCGCGAACTTCGTGAACTCCGTCGGCTCTTTCGGTGGCAACCGAATAGTAATAGTAATTGTAATAGCAATAGTCATAGTTTAAAAACATAATAGTACTAGTTAATTGCAATTGTAATTGTAATTGCAATAATAGTAGTTCAATGTAATAGCAATGTAATGGTAGTAATAGTAATAGCAATAGTTTTAGGGTTTTCGGGTTAGGGCTTCGGGCTCAGGGCCCTAGCAACCCCCGAAATGCTTTCGACACATCTCTTGCCTGTTGCATGTCTTCAGTTACACCTAGCCCTTGAAAACAGGTACGAGTTACGAGTTGTAGCATTTAGGGGGTCGTTTCTCAGGTTTCGATGGTTCAGGGAGTTTCAATGGCTTCAGAGCAGGGAACAGCGGTTTTCGGGATGTTTTCAACCAGGTCTCTAATTGTTGAGGACAGCAGGCAGAGTGCGCTTTCCAGGCTAAGGGTCCTGTAGTTACAGAAGCCCACAGTAGACTCAGTAGATAGATGTAGATAGGATAGGTATCGCCTTTGATGTGGCTGTGCCGCGGGCTGGTAACCAAGGCTACCTGCCGGACGGCACTCCATTGAACGCGGCGGGCAATGCGATCAATCATCCCGAGAGAATGATGCCGGACCCACATGCGCCTGGCTCTCCGTTGCCAGCCTCCTCCTACCTGGCCGACACTGGCTATTTCGCAGATGGCACAGCCTTGACAACGGCAGGCAACAATTCAGTCACACAGGCAGTCCCAGCGCCAGCCAGCAACACCACGCCGGCACCCACATCCGCACCTGCCCCTGCAGCCAGTCCAGTTGGCCAGAACACCGTGACGCACGGCCGTGGCTTTGAGTACAGCGTGCAGAGGGATGCGCATGCAGATCAGGAGTTCACCAACGACGTGGGCTACTTGCCAGACGGCACCCCGATGAACCGCGCCGGCAATGCAATCAATCACCCTGACCGTATCTTAGCTGCAGTCTGCTGGGGAACTCGGCTTAGAAGTCTTAAACCCCGAAGGTTCAGATCAACTGAGCAGACCTTACTGTTTCAGCAAACGAGGTCACGATCTCAAACGAGGCCAAGTCAGCAGTTGTTTTACAGCATTTGTTTTACATGTTTTACCCTAAACCCTTTAAACCCTAATTAAACCTACAGTTTATCAAGTCCGTAAGGGAGTGGTGAGGGGGGGCAGGTACCCAGGGAAGCTGGCGGAGGGGGACATTGCGTCCTTTGCGCCTGTGTGTCACTGTCCGTAGGAACGCGGGGCTCGAAAAGCCTCGCGCAGCCCTAAACTCTGAACCCTCAATGCTGCCCTAACCCCACGAAAGCCGCAAAAGAACGAAACCCTCAACCCCTAAACCCCGGATGTCGTCCGAGGCTGTCGTCGGCAGCCTTGTACATTCAAGATCCCGGTTCTTCTACCCCAACCCACAATCACCACAGACAGGGACACCTTGGAACCTTGAACCCTCAAGCTACCCTTGTGGGGCCAGAACCAAAGACTTAAACTCTCAACCTCAACCTCCAGAATACCCCCACGAGTCCTGAAGACCTAAACTCCCAGCCCCTATAAGTCCCCCTGATCCCTAAATTCCTAGACCCCCGACCCCAAACCTTGGCCCCTAAACCCCCCCCAAAAAAAAAACAACCAAAGTTCCTAGACCCTAAAGACCCTAAAGACCCTAAAGACCCTAACGACCCTAAAGACCCCAAAGACCCCAAAGACCCTAAAGACCCTAAAGACCCTAAAGACCCTAAATCCTCATACGCCCCCCCAACCCCCCCAGGTATGGCGCCTGACACCCACACTCCGGGCTCCCCGCTGCCCCGCGCCAACTTCGTGAACTCTGTCGGCCCTTCGGCGTGGTTTAGAAGAGTCGGATGCTTGGGGAAGATAGGAACCCCCTATTTTGGGCTTAGGGTTTAGGGTTCAGGGTTTAGGGTTTAGGGTTTGGGGTTTGGGGTTTAGGGTTTAGGGTTTGGGGCTGTTAAGGTCCTAGATTCCTAATGGCCCTAGACGCAGCACTGAGCAGCCGTTAGAGGTTTCTTGGGACTTTGCGGTGCCCGCATGCCATCGCCATGCCCTCCTAGGGTTTAGGGTTTAGGGTTTAGGGTGTAGGGTTTAGGGTTTAAGGTTTAGGGTTTACGACTATGCTTGGTAGCCCAGTGGTGCCCTTTTCTTTTTTTTGGGGGTTCAAGGTTCCCTGATAAAGTAACCAACCCCAAAAAAAGGGTGCCGTTTTTAGAATATGGTTTCTGGGCTACCAAGTGTGGTCACCACCCTTTCGTTTATGAATATTCTTGCTGCAATTGTGATGTTTCTCATTGCCACGATTCGTTTTCTGAGTTTAAGGACCAGAAATGATCCGGGCTTCATGTGACGTTCATCAAGGCAAGTGAGGCCATGTCCGACACTCGGGTTCAACCACCCGCTCTCTCCGATTTTTCAGCAAACCCTACCCCTAAAAAAACAAATTCCGGTCACTTCTCGAAATTGTGGCCCCCTTTGGGGTCACTACCAGTACCATAAGGCGGCCCCGAATATGTAGCATTCTATAGGACACTGAATATTCCTCCGAAACCCGAATGAATATTCCTCCGAAACCCGAAGCCCTAAACCCTAAGCCTTATGAGGGAGTGGGTAGGTTTTTAACATCAGGGCTTGGGGGTCCTGCCTTAAACCCCAAACACTAACCCTAGGGGACTTTAAGGTATGCAGCTCCCCAACCCGAACGAAGCCCTAAGACCCTAGGCTGCTGAAGCCGGAAGCCACACTTCTTCAAAGCAGGGTTGAGGGTTTCTGTCTTAGGGCGCTTGCATCTGAGGCTACCTCCCAGACGGAACGCCCTTGAATCAGGCCTGTTCTGTCCGGATTCGGGAAAGGTTCGGGCTCGGTCTCGGGGATAATGGGCTTAGGCCCTTCATCCTTAAACAACACGGCCTAGAACCCAAGCCCTCAACCCTAGATCCATAGACCTTGATTTATAATCCTAAACCTAAACCCCAGTAAACTAGGGTTTGATTTGGGTTTGGGGTTTAGGGTTAGGGTTTAGGGTTTAGGGTTTGCTGTGATGGGCGTAGATGTTGTGGAGGTTAGGTTTTGGAACAAGCTCGAAAGCTTCGTGAGGTGCGAAGAGCAGGTTTGGCCCGATGGTGGAAGGACATCTAACATTTTTCTCCCACCCCACGCCGTCCGAGGCGGTAAAGCCACCCAAAGCTATTCCTTTTAGGGTTTAGGCCTAAACTCAAGCCAACTGCTTACTTTACATAAAACTTCTTCATTCCGTCACGGTGGTCGCCAGCCTGGTTCAAGATGCAGGTTCACAAAAAAAGGCAACCCTCCAGTGCAGAGAGGCTAAGGTGGAGAAGGGTCCAGGGAAGCCCAGGAGGGCCCAGGACTTTTTCCCCGTTCGAGCCGGCCTGAGATCCCTGGTTTCTGAGCAAATTATAAGGGACCAGCACTGGTCCGAGGAGAACGTGCTCCGGCACCGGGCCCATCGTGGGTGCTACCGACCCCCCATGCTGTGGGAGGCGGGCGAGCGACCTGGGTCGGCCTGCGCCATTGAGGTTGAAGGGCTTAAGCGCCGCCCCCCAACGTAGGGGGGCGGCCTCAGCCCTGAGTTTAGGGTTGAGGATTTAGGATTTAGGGTTTAGGGGCGATGGTTCTGAAGCAGGGGTGTGGGGAGGGGCCAGGGGAGTAGGAAGCCTCCTTGCTTGCAGGCCGGCAATGCCATCAACCATCCGGAGTACGGCGCTCTCGCTCCTGATATTCATACCCCAGGCTGTCCCGCGCAGATGTGATACCCAGAGCGCAAGGCTTCTAATTGAGGAGCATTCCCTAACTAAAGCAAACTGGGCTTTATTTCCCTAAACCCGAAACCCTGAACCCTAAACCCTAACCCTAAACCCGAATTACAACTCCCCAAGGCTGAATAGAGTCATCTTTACTCTGTTGTGACAATGCATACTTTGCTCAATGCGGGTTTAGGGTCTAGGGTTTAGGGATGTGTAGCTGGCTTCAAATTTTCAGGCCCAGGGGTGTCAATGGCCCAGGGAGTAAGATGCACAAGCTTCATAAGACATGAGGAACTGTAGACCTTGCACATCTTTGTGCTGCCTTGAAAGCTTACCCATGCCCTAAACCCTAAACCCTAAACCCTAAACCCTAAACCCTAAACCCTAAACCCTAAAACCCACGATCTACTGCACACTAGGGGCTCAAAGTACCCCCCCAACGAAGTGTATCGCCAGTTTTTGCTGCAGGTACCCTACCCGAAGTCCCGGAACCCTAAGCCCATGAAAGAACGTTTGGGGTTTAGGGTTTAGGGTGTAAGGTTTAGAGCTCAGGGTTTAGGAAGCTGACCAGGAGCTCCACTGCCCATCTCGTTTTTTGCTGCGGATGTGGGCTGCTCGTCAGCCATCAGATTCCGTTTTACGGCTTTGGCTGGGGTATGTGTGGGTCGTTACGGTTCTTAAGAGATAGGTCTCTGGGGTTTTTGGTTTGTCTCTTCATTCCTTTTTTTTTTTTTTGGGGGGGGGGGGGGGGGGGGGGGGGGGTGGGGGATGGGGGGTGGGGGTTGAAGTTGTCAGGGTTGAGGGTTGCGCAGGTAGCTCACAGGGCTTCAGGTCTGCACTCCCTTTGCTCGAGGATTTGAGATGCTTTACTTGAAGGTGTCTGGGTAAAGTGTAAGTAGGGACTATATCAAGGCCAACATAGAGCTAGCCATGCTGTTACAGCAGTGTAGCTTTCCGGAAGAGTGCTAACCAGCGCTGCTTGTCGCAGGGGTTAGGGTCTACAGCCTCGAGCGAGGGAGAGAGAGAGAGAGAGAGAGAGACAGATTGCGAGAGAGAGAGAGAGAGATTGCGAAGAGAGAGAGAGAGACCGAGAGAGAGAGAGAGAGAGAGCGAGAGGGCGAGAGAGAGAGAGAGCGAGAGAGAGAGAGAGCGACAGAGAGAGACAGAGAGAACGAGAGAGCCCTAAACCCTAAACCCGAAACCCGAAACACTAAACCCTAAACCCTAAACCCTAAACCCTAAACCCTAAACCCTAAACCCTAAACCCTAAACCCTAAACCCTAAACCCTAAACCCTAAACCCTAAACCCTAAACCATAAACCATAAACCCTAAACCCTAAACCCTAAACCCTAAACCCTAAACCCTAAACCCTAAACCCTAAACCCTAAACCCTAAACCCTAAACCCTAAACCCTAAACCCTAACTAACCCTAAACCTTAAACCCCAAACCGTAAAGCCTAGGTTACTTGGTTGACGGCACGCCCCTGGACGCCGCTGGCACCTCACCGAAAGCCAAAGTTCCCTAGGTAACATGTATCCTGGGTACTGTAGCCCTAAGCCCCAAACCCTAAACCCCAAACCCCAAACCCTAACCCTAAACCCTAAACCCTAGAAGTCATGACCTGAACGCCTTGGATCGCACGGAGAGTGAAGATGCAATGTGGAGTCTCACTAGCCGCAACTCCAAAGACGCACTCTCCAAACTCAAGACACTCTAGGCCGGAAGCCCTTAGGATCCAGGGTTTAGGCCTTAGTTCGGGTGTTTCCCCAAAACCTCGAATCTCGACCCCAATCACCTCTAAAGCCTCAGTTAAGGTTTACCAGGCATCGATTTAGGATATTTTTTTGAGTTTCCCTTAAATTTTTTTAATGGAGCCCTACTTATTAACAAGTCTGGGGACTGTTGAAATCAAGTTTGGGGTTTGGGGTTTAGGGTTAAGCCCCACGTCTCCAAGCGACATCCCTAGACCCTACAAGCCCTAAACGTCACTAACCCCTAAGCCCTAACCAAGACTCCGATGGACCCGAAGCCCAACTTTGTACATGGGTCGTTTCAAATCGTGAGTCCAAAGTCTGATAAATAGTGGGTCCAGAGTCTGATAGATGCAAGGTCAAGACTGTGGGCTGGGGGTTTGGGGTTTATCGCAAGAGGGGGAGGGATGAAGGGTGCTTTTCTGCCTGGATTCAATCGTAGGGGATATGCACGTTACGGTACTGCATGAAAGGGCTCATGAACCAATTGGCACGGAGAGGTTCAAGAGGGAGGTGGTATAGAGAAGGAAGCGATGACACGGACTTGGCAGATGAACTGTCTGAAAGGCACCAGTCATTGGAGAACGAGACACATGATG